TAGACTCAAACAAACACATGAATGTTAAGATTAGTCTGTTCAAACGAATAATCATTTTGTCAGGATATATTAAGAAATATATTATACATTGAATAAAGATGAAAATATAACCAACTATAATCAATTAGGGTATGTTGAGAAATAATCTAATAAGCATCAGTGCTCATATTATACTAAACACTGATAATGTCATATTATAATTCATTGGTGGACAACATAGGACACATCATCGGTTAGCTCATCATCTCAAATGCTAACCCAGCCTTGAAAAAGATGGTTGAGTAGACATAAATTTTTGTAATGTGTTCATTGTTGCCAATAAATGACATGAAGGATTTACAGGACACAATCGTTATAATATATCAGACTTAATCTCTTGTCCTCAATTGAAAACTTTTCACCGTTAATGTGGTAAGAGGACTTTAATTATGATTCTCTCGGAGAACCATATTAGTAGTGAAAGGTTTTTATCATACCCACTGAATACAACTTTCAGGAGATCAATTTCATATGACATATATGCTTAAGGTCAAATTCCATAAAAGTAATGCACCGAAAATCAAAATTAAATTCTACTAAAATAAAATATTGATCCTTTGCCAAAGTAAAAAAACCAATTCTAGAATTGAAATGTTTTCACCTACAGTCCTCTCTCTATTTTTCCGTGACTGAATAGTCTCACAACACTTAGTGCTTGTTTGGTAGGGATTTTGTTAATTGATTATTTGATCGTTAGAGATAAGGTGGGTTCTACTTGTGAGAGAAAAATTCAAAAATGACAGCTAAAATAATAAAATAACGGTCAAAAAATTGATGTTAATTGGATTAAAATCCCTACCAAACATACTCTTAGTTTTACATATCTTAACGAAAATTGAAGTTACGTAGTTGACACGTGAATCACAACGATTTTTGACCTCAATAATATGTACAAAATTTAGAAGTCCCACATAAATTTGAAATAATATACTAATCAAAGTTTGAATAATCAAGCATGAAAATTTGATTTTGACAATAAATTAAACGCGATTATTTATGGTGAGACACTCCTAACTTTTTGTTGTATTCTTAGATTAGAATCAAAATTAAGTAGACAATTATTGTCTAAGGTTGTACTAGGCTACCATTAATTACTTTTTGGTAAATAGGTAGTCCAATGGAAAACATTCTAAAAACAAGGAATATTTGGTTGGGTAAAGAAAAGGTCGATGGTATAATGGTTATATAAAAAAAATGGATTCTCGATAAATAATTTTCTAAACGAAGGTTGTAAAATTCCTCTTTTCTTCTTTCAAACCAATTAAAAATTCTTTTGATCTTACAAGTAGTATAGCAACTTGCTCAGAGAGAGAGAGAGAGAGAGAGAGAGAGAGAGAGAGATGCTTATTCTTCGATGTTGCTTTCAAATTACAAAGGGTAATGGCTTTCATGTGAAGGAGATGGAGCCTGATACTTTTAAGAGTTGTTTAAAATCTATGTCCTATCTCATTGATGGCATCAAATGCCAGTATTTTAAAAGATATCTCGAGACTTTCAGGTGAATTGGGTGTTAGTCTGTGTCGTCACATACTCCGATCGAGAGACAAGACAGCTCTCCAACTACCTAACTTGTTAATTGCTATTACTACCTAAATTCTCATAAACGGGTCGATTGTAATCTATTTTCTTGTCGATAGTTGTTGCGTAAGAGATTGCTTAATACATTTATTTTTTCCCCCAAAAAACATATTAAGTATAATATTCCCTGTCACATATCCTAATATAGACTAATACGGATGAAGAGACTATCCGTGCAAAATTCATCGTGCCTGCCTAATAATGCCATATAAATTAATATGTCAAAACATGCATGTCCATTATTTTCTGCTTTACAATAAGGCACAACGTGGGATTCAATATTTTATGCATAATTTTTAATTTTATCTAAATTAACTTTTTTTGATCCACCAAAGCCAAGAATGCAAGTGGGCGGGCCCATGCCTATAAAGTGTGCAAAATTATCAACTTTGAATAATATTCATGTGGGCCTCCCACCATGTGAGTGGAGGCATCCATTATGTACAAAAAATTATGTACTACAAGCATTATTGAATATTATATTTATGTGGCCCCCCACCATGTGAGTGGAGGCATCCATTATGTACAAAAAATTATGTATCTATAGCAAACTCCAATTGAGTGAGAGGTAATCAAGTATTTTCTTTTTCATTTTTCATTTTATTTTATAATAATTCGTGTCTAGAACATTTAATTCAAAGTAACCAAAAAGAAATTTTGTTCCTCGTCAATTTCAACTTACTACTTGGATCAGAAGTACCACAATTTATCTACGTCATTACTATAGAGTATTTAATCTCGATATTTTCTAAAAATTAATTTTGTTTTCTGACTTGTTAGGACACATCCCGCGATTTACCTTTCACAGCTCTAGAGACGGGACGGTGGAGGCCCTCAAAATTGGGGTTCAACCTTTTTTTTTTTTTTTTTATTATTATTTGGCGTTAATAACATTCATGTCGCGTTTATCATTTATGTAACTAATTTGATCTTGTCTACTGTGGTTAATTAATAAAAATAAAATTATTTTCTTGTTACTAATTAAGAGACAAAAGATGCTCATCCCTCGTTTCAAGATCTCAAAATCTATAAAAAGAATGTGAACGCTGGTTGGATGAAGAAATAAAGTAACTTATTCTCTGATTATAATTATAATCTGGATTACTAGTGATTTAAAGCAACAATCATTACTGAAAAAGTTATTTCTTTTGTTCAGTATTAATTATTGTAGTACCTTTTTCTTCTTTTTTTTCTTTATTTTTACATTTTACTTTTTCCTTAATTTAGTTTCAAAATGAAAATTAGCTAATTCTTCGACCAATTTTGTTAGTTTAAAAAACACGTAATTAGACAAAATCAATATCAACTATATATTAATAAAAGACTTTGAATAACGTATGTTTGTCTCATGACTTCATCTATTGAAATCACGATAACGACAACCTTTGAAGATTTTAACATATTTAAATTGTTGACAAATCTGCATGATCTACGCATTATTTGAATTTTAATCAAAAGATTCCAATACAAGAAAATACTAGGTATTTACGTGAAGGACAGATATGCCTTATCCATGATGTGAAATAATCAACAATATTTTACATGAAAATGAACAAAAATATTAATAAAGGTTAATCTATCTTATCGTCGTGTAAAGTCAAGAGCGTAAAAAATACGAGAGAATAACTCTTCATCCATATACAAGAAAAGTGAAAAACAATACAATATAATATTATTTAATTAGTCTCGACACCAAACACCAATATTATCTCGACCTAAAAAGACGTCGCGTCTTCAAACATATTGAGATAAAAAATGTTAACTTAGAGCAGTTATTAGTGAGGATACCGGGACTATCTTATGATTTTTCTTGTCACTGCATCGCCTTCTTTTATCCTGATCGAGATTCACAGAGAAAGATTATGAGAAAACTACGAATATAATGAAAATTCTAATTATCCTTCCACTTTAAGTATCAATATTTTCAATATATATTGCATGTGGATTGATGTCGAGCAACCTTACAATAATCTATTTTTCAAGATGAAGAAGAATTATTTTTGTCCATTTTGCGGGAAACTTTGAAGATTTTCAACATGAATAAAATAATTTACTGTTTACAAAAAATACATTGACATATGGTTAAATATTTCAATTTCTAATCTAGGCATCATTCTAAAGTTTGGAATAGGAATATTGTTTCATGACTTTTATTGTATAAGAAAAATGATATCGAAATTCGTTATTGATTTCCATGTTAATTTCGTGGATAATGATACTGAATTATCAACTGTACTGAATTAAGAATATAATAAAATTCTAATTATCAATATCGATATTTTGCAAGACGAAGAATCATTTTTGTGCATTTTGAAGGAAACTTCGAAGATTTTCAACATGAACACCACCCTTAATCAAAGCCAATACATAATTGCATCTTCATAGTCATAATATAACTCAAAAATTTGTTTGAAACTTATATTAAGACATGCAAATTTTTTATTTGCCATAAATATTGGTCTAGAAAAATTGAGATTCAAAATGATATTATTATAAAATGGTTTTAGAAAACATTGAAAGCCGTAGCTCTAGTAATTGTGAAAATTCTTTATTCCTATTAAACAATAATTTAAAAATAATCAAAACTAATAAAGAACAAAAAGTTTAAATACTAATTCAAATTTTCATTTTGTATTGAATAATAATTTTAAATATTAAAACATTCAACACTAATAAAGCACAAAAAGTGTAACAGAAAATCGGTAAATTAAGTCCACTATGAAATATTTATATACGTCAGTTTTTAAAGTTTATAATATGATAATTATTAAATACTATATTGTACAAACTATGATTTATTTGTATATTATCCTTTAAACTTTTACAATCATGTATTGATTAACTCTTTATTCTTTGCTAACCATCCATTATCAAATAATTTACGGTTTAGAACATATACATTGGCATATATTAGATATTTCAATTATTAAATTTAGGCATTATTCTAAAGTTTGGAATAGGAATAATGTTTCATGTCTTTGTTGTATAAGAAAAATGATATCGAAATCCGTAATTGACTTTCATGTTATTTCGTGGACAATGCTAATGAATTATCGATTGAAATTTGTTCATGACTGATAATAAAACGAAATTTGATTTGACTGGTTAAAAACTTGTTAGGCATAACATATTTTTGAACCTCGTCGTTTTATTTATTTAAAACTTTCAAATTAACTATTGTTTTTTAGATATGTAATCACTTGAAGTTGTAATTTGTTTAGAAGCAATACTCTTATTTCACTTGCTAGTAAAATTGTAACTGAACATTTTATCAAGTTAAAAGAACAAAAGAAAGGGTGGAAAAGCAGAATAATCCCTTTATTTATTAGTAGTTTCCTATAAAAGTAATAATTTGAGAAAAGGTCAGCTTCTCAGAATCCCACCGTGTCCCTGTGTCAGTCAGCTGTGGGAGGCAGAAGAGCAACTTCCTAGCAAGAGGCTAGTGACATTATCATCAGAATATTACAAACAAAAACCTGTTCAAACTTCAAACCCAATTCTTGATTCTCGGTGTCCCTTCAGATATATTTTATTTAACCAAATTATACTAGAGAAAAAAGATTAACTGCACATTAATTTCTCGATATTGTTATTCCTCATCCATCTCCAATCCAGTACTTTCAGAGCCCATAACCTGCCAAATGGGAAAACTAACAGCAAAATTCATCGCCGCCGTCTTTGTAGTTTGCTTGTTTTTAGCCATTGTTTCAGCTCAGAAACTCGATACCTTCAGTCGAGAATATGGGCCTTTCAATGAAACACACTTCGATATTTTTGAGGTTGAAAGGCCTGCTACTATTAGCAATGATGCCCTTCAGGTGACTCCAGATTCAGCTTCGTCGGATTTCAATCTGACTTATAATTCAGGCAGAATCCTCTACAAACAGCCCTTTAAGCTCTGGGAAGGTGATATTGCATCATCCAGAGAAAACCCGGTTGCATCTTTCAACACTTCCTTTCTTATCAATGTTTACCGGCCAAAAAATGAAACTCCCGGCGAAGGTTTGGCTTTCTTGATCGCGCCCGATTTAAACTTGCCGCCCAACAGTTACGGTGAGTTTCTGGGCCTTGCGAATGCCACTACCGACGGGAACGACACCAATCACCTGGTTGCGGTGGAGCTTGACACCTTCAAACAGGATTTTGACCCTGATGACAATCATGTAGGTATCGACATCAATGGCGTCAGATCTTTAAAAACTGAATCTTTAACACCCCACAATATCACAATAGCTCCAGAGGGTGCTAAGTTTTACAACGTGTGGGTGGATTATGATGGTGTTAGGAAGTTCCTTGCAGTGTACATAGCAGAACAGGCTGAGAAAACTGGCCCTTCTCCTCCCAAGCCTAGCTCGAGTGTTATCAGTGCAAATCTGAATCTGCGAGATCATCTAAATCAGTTTTCATATTTCGGGTTCTCTGCATCTACAGGGAATGCTACACAACTGAACTGTGTGTTGAGGTGGAATTTGACTATCCACTACTTTTCAGAGCAAAAACAGCCATGGTTGAAGATAACTTTAGGAGCTGGAGTGCCTATTTTGGTGCTCCTGATAATGGGAGCAGTGGGATTTGGATACTATTTACGCAAGCGGCGAATGGCACATTGTAATTCGAACTTGGCAGGGGCTCTCAAGAGTCTTCCCGGTACACCTCGAGAGTTCAAATTCATGGACCTGAAAAGGGCTACAAACAGTTTTGACGAGAAGAACAAGCTTGGACAAGGAGGATATGGAGTTGTATACAAAGGGTTTCTGGCTAACGAGAATCTGGAGATTGCCGTCAAGTGGTTTTCCAGGGAGAGTATCAAGGGACAAGATGATTTCCTGGCTGAACTTACCATCATTAATCGCCTTCGCCATAAACATCTTGTTAAACTTCTGGGTATGTCTCATCTAACACTAAGATTTTATCAGCCAATTTTGTGTTTCTGGCATTCGATTCATTGATTATTATTCAATTTATTCTACACTGCAGTATTAAATTGCTCTGTCAATTACCTCAAAAGGCTAGCTAGATGCAGTAAACCAGATTTTCATCGCATCATCGGTTGTTCAGATTAATTAACCATTTTCTTAGATAACTTTCTTAGCAAGGAAATTAACAATCTCAACCAAATGAATTTCGTAGGTGCAAGATTTCTAGTCATTTGGAATCTAACAAGATGAGCAAAATTTAAGATAGAATAGCCCACCATGGTTGAGGGAAACATGAATACAGGAACGCCTAATCTATTTGAATTTTCACAATACGAAAATAAATGATGAACAGAATTACTTATTTTTGTTTTGGTTACAGGATGGTGCCACAAGAACGGGAAGCTTCTTCTAGTGTATGAATACATGCCGAATGGAAGCCTAGACAAACACCTGTTTTCAGAGCCCAACATAGAGCCACTTGGATGGAGTCTTCGATATAAAATAGTTTCTGGGGTAGCCTCAGCCTTGCATTATCTCCATAACGAGTATGAGCAGAGGGTGGTACACAGAGATCTTAAAGCTAGCAACATCATGCTCGACTCCGACTTCAATCCCCGTCTAGGAGACTTTGGCCTTGCAAGGGCGCTCGACAACGGCAAGACCTCATATGCCGAGGCTGAGGGAGTGCTGGGCACAATGGGATACATTGCACCTGAGTGTTTCCACACTGGAAAAGCCACACAACAGTCTGATGTCTTTGCATTCGGGGCGGTCTTGTTGGAAGTGGTATGTGGTCTACATCCCGGAACCAAGATTGCTGGCTTCCAGTTGTTGGTCGACTGGGTTTGGTTCTTGCATCGTGATGGGAGCTTACTCGAAGCAGTAGATCAGAGATTGTGTGACGAATTCGTCGCAGAAGAAGCCGAGAGGATTCTGCTGCTGGGATTGGCCTGTTCACATCCTATTGCTACTGAAAGGCCTAAAACACAGGCTATACTTCAAATTATCTCGGGAACAGTGCCAGTGCCGAATGTTCCACCGTTCAAGCCGGCTTTCATGTGGCCGGCTGCCGGGCACACGGATTTCGATTCGAGTTCAGTCAATACGGCATCAATTACAACTTCACATTTCGGTTCTGGTTGGAGTGCACAGGATCTTAGCAGGGAGAACTATACTAGAAACACAGACTCTTTGGTGTAGTTTCTTTTAGAAAAAAACTAATATTACCAAGTGCATTCTGTTTTCCTTTTCCCTCTAATTTCTTATTTTCAATTTTGTTGTTGTAGTTCCATTTGTTGGATATCCTGTTCTTTGGAGTCTGTTGTCGTCTTTTTTAATTGGATTTGTTCATTAAAAGAATGAATGGAAGGAGGAATAGGCAGTGTACATTGATATTGGTGGTGTCATACAGTTGTATTTGTTGTAATTGAATGTTACACCTATAATGGAAGGAGAAATATTAATCTGATTTCTTAGTCTTACTATAGATATTAATCTTTAATGTCTTATTTTAGATTAAAAGAGCATCTCTGATGGAGCTATGGATTGCTCTAAAGCGTGTGCAACATTACGTCAAAATATTACACGACAATGAAAAATGAGGAGAATGTCTAGAACATCCTCCACTGGACGTGCTAGACATCCTTCACTTAGCATCCGTTTGTTTCTCATTTTTGGAAGAATGAGAATGAAAAATATAGTTGTTACGAGCCCATATAAGAGATAGAAATTCAAATTTGGTAGTTTGATGTAGTGGATAACGGTTATATTTTTTATTTTAATTAAGAATGAATGGGAACCAAACATGGACTTAGTTTTTTATAGTTCATTTTCATTGGAGGATATGTCAAAAAGGCCCTCCTCTTTAGTTGTGCATCTTCCTCTTTAGTAAAATTTGATCATGACTTTTCTTCTTCGTCTTCTTGAGCATTAAGAGTCATTTAATGACTATGCAGAACAAGAATTAAATTATTAAAGGTTGAAAGAGGATATTTGGCATGCATACTTGTTGATGGTTGAAATTGTTACTGCCTAGCATCAAAATAAAAAATGGAAATTCTCTAGATCTGCAAAATAAACAGTTCCATTAGTTTTGCTATGTAGTTGAACTGCAAGGAGGTCGATCATCGTACGAATTTCAATGCTTAAGATAATTGAATTTGATACATGGAATATGTCGATGGAAGTATGGAATAAAATTTTTCAAACCCCTTAAATGAGGGTATTTTTTTCCTTTATAAGAAGAAAAAAGTAATACTAATCATTATTTTCAACTTTCAACGTCACTTATCTCAAGTTTGTTTAGTCTGGTTCGTGGGTGGGTTCGGTCAATGGTAATTGTAAATGACAGTATGTCAATTTACATTATGTGACATTTGTCAACCTCACTTATGTGGAGTTCGAATTAGTCTCATTTGTGGGGTGGTTTCATTCGATGGTAACCAGAAATGATAGTACGTCAATTTGCATGTCATAACGTTTGTCAGCTTTTCACAACTTACCATTTTACAAAAAATATTACACCGAGCCTTTATTAGAAATCAAGTCGAACAAAGTTACAGACCTAGTACTTTTAGCTCTAAGTTATTCAGTTATTGTTGACTTTAACTTTTATTCATTACTTTGCACGAATGAGGTTAGCTATGGCTTCCAAGCTTAGGTTATTTTCTAAGTGATGCTCGAACTCACATATATTTTTTATTCATCGACTGACATTTTTTAATTGGACTAAACAGTCGACATATTTGGAACATCTTATCTTCTTCAAGATAGGCTTCCCGACAGAAACAAGGTCATAGAAGCTTTTCAATTGTTTAAGGAGTCGAATGGTATTGCAAAAGATCCCCAATAGTAAATAAGGAAGCTATTGTTTATAATGTTGGACTCATGAATAATTGAAATGAATAGGTAAAATCAATAAAAGAAAAATCAGTTTTAATTTCAATACCTGATTTGTTGACTTAAATCTTTGAGCAGTGATTCCTGATTTTTTAAATTTGACATACCTGATATAATTGAGGGATGAGATTTCTTTTGAGATTTGAGGATTGAAAAAGACGTAAAATCAGGAAGACAGGATCCAAGAGTCGAGTCAAAACAATAACAACAATAATTTCAATCATTCTTTACTATTTGTCTCGAGGGCAATAATATCACTCACTACTTCCTACGAACCCTTATAAAAATTACTTTTATATTGAAGCCAGATGAGCATTGCTCTAAACTTTATTCAAAGCAGCTTCTGATCCCTCAATCCGAGCAGCATCTCTTTATCATCCGAGGGTCAACTTTGAATCCCTAGCGAGATAAAAAAAAATTGAAACCCAAGGTTATAATGCTTTTGGAGAAAATATTAGGCATGACCAAATTGCTCCTCAATGCAACTTATTTGTTAAGGTGCATTCTATAACATCAAACCATTTTAATAAAGGGTAAAAAAAAAATTAAAAAAATTGCCATTTTACCGTTTAACACTATTCAATAACACGTTAACAAAATTTACTTCTGACTACAAAAAGATACAAGAAAATGATAATGTGAGAGTGAGAGTCAAGAGTTTACTTAGAGTCTGTTTGGTTTGAATTAAAATATGATTTTAATTTAAGTTAAAGTCAAGAAATCAACATTAATACTCTTTCATAAATTCCAAAACTTTTCAATCACATATTTTAAAAACTTTTATCACAATCTATTAAAAAATCTAATTTTTATCCCCATCAAACACCATTTTATACCGTTAAAAAAATACTTAGCCCTTGAGATTGATTTTTGTCAAAAATCACTTTTTTTACTCATTTAACCATGCATTCTCCAAAAACAGTAAAAACAAATAAATAAATAATTATGATAATAATAATAAAAATTCTCTGCGTTTCCCGTAACTTTTTTTCACTTTTCAAAACACTTTTTCCCTCTCAAGCACTTATTTCTAAAAAATATATTAAAAGATATTGCCATATTTTAATATATTTTTTAATTTTTCGATGCTTTTACATTTTTCTAATACAGTGCAATATTAAAACAATACACCATAATCGACCTCAATAAAATCCCTCCTAAACATATCCTCCTTAATCGTATTCCTCCTAATTGTATCCTCCTTAATCCTATACGACGGATCAAAAGTGCCCTAAACGTATTAAACCAAAGTTTCATTATATTTTTCTTTTTTCGTTTTTTTCTTTTTGGAATCTTCGTTTTAATTAAAAATGTTCTCAGAGAACTTTCTTAATATGCAGAATTAACTTCATCAATCTCAACCAATTCAATTTCTTAGGTTCAAGATATCTAATCACTTGTAATTGAAGAGAATGAGCAAAATATAAGATAGAATTACCCACTATGGTCGAGGAAAATAATTGATAAGAGAAAGAATTTAGAAGAAGTTAAAATCTCCCACCAACTCGACCATGTTGGCTCATGGCTGGCATGCCATGGCCCCTTCAGGAAACCAAGACACTTTTTGGCCCACTTTTCGGTGGCGGTAGACTTTCTATCAGCAGCCCATCATGGTGGTTTCCATGGCTGAGCTGGTGGAAATGGAGGAAACTTCCTTTTTTTCAACTTTCATCCCCATCTTACATTCAATGTTGACTTGTAACACCAACAATGTAGGATGCACATGGTTAACATGTCATATTTTGTGTCATTTTTGCAAAAACTTTTAAGCCCCTGTTTGGTAAATCTAGATTTGAATCTAAATCAAAGTTGTCAGATAATTTTAATTACATATTTCACGAGACATAATTTTTCAGCCACATATTTCAACAACTTTTTATCATCAAAATTTACTAAAAATATGATTTTAATCCTCGTCAAACGATGACTAAGGTACAAAGAGTCGAAGAGAAAATAGAAGATTATTTTTCCGTACCGGTCATAATAGAATCTTGAAAGCATGTTCCACGAGAGTTCGATCTGGCATTAGGCAATATCTTCAAAATGTTTTGATCATTTTCCTAACCTCGTTAAACAACTTCCTAACCTCTTTGAATTTAGCTATGTTAATTTCATTTATCTAAAACATTAAACTATCTGTTATACAAAAAGATTTATTTAAATCTCCAACGCACTTTTCAAAGTCAAATTCATTTTTTTGAATAAAAGCCAGCATCAAATTGTCTTCATAAGTGTTATGATGGTTGAATGAATCACAAGGTTCGTGCTCTCTAATATATGTACGTCCACTGACATTATTTAAAAAAATAACTTGTTAAAAAATTAAAAATAATATATTTATTTCTATTTATATCTTTAAAACCTAAAATGAATATTGGATATCATAGCTATCTTATCATCAAAACTTCGTAATTAGATTATAAGAAAAAACATTTTATAAATTGCAATGCAAAATATGCAATCATATATGATAAAAGAATTACCAGTCTTCGCCACATGTTCTTGATGATGACTTCCTCATTTTGGTCTTTCTCCTCAAATATTATAAGTTGCGAAATTATTTAGACAATAATTGTCAAAATTGTTCTCTCATTTTCCAGTTGCCAATTTGACCAATGTATTGTTTTTCAAATTTGACTGCTATTTAATATCTAAAAATTGAACGTGTTATCTTTAATTAAAATTTGAAGCTAATCCATGTTTCATCCTCATTTTTTAAAATTTATTTTTTTAAAACTTATTTTTCAATCAAATAATTTATGGGATCCATAACTTTTTAACCTCATATTTTATCAAAATTTACTAAAAATTTAATTTTTATCTAAATTAAACAGGGATTAAATAATTAAATGTTAGAACTTATTGATGATATTTGTTCAACTTCTTCCTCCAAGTTAGCAGGGCCGGTCTTGTGATCATGGGGGCCCGAGGAGAATTCCATAAATTGGGCCCTCAAAATCAACATAAATCAAAATCCAACGGTGTACTATACAATCAATTGCTAACTTAAAATTTAATGTAAAAGACATTTTAAAAACATTTGAATTATGGGAGGATTCTTTTACTTTAATTAATGGGTTTTACCCAAAAAAAAAAAGGAAATGGAAAAAATAATTTTGGGCCCCCTTGAAAAGCTGGACCTGAGCCAGCGGCCTGTTGTGTTGGGAATCTACTTATACATGCACAGCGGAATTTAAAATAATTTTCGATTCCCACCAAGAATCGCCTTTGTGTTTAGATAGAAATTGTGATAAGATTGTACCTTTTCCAGATATGCAATCCTTTTGCTTTTCTTTTCGTTCCACAACTTTGATTCGCCACCACAACTGTCCAATTGTCCAGCCTCCAACGGTGATCCACACAGAGAATATGATTGCAGCCTCTAGGGTTTTCTCTTGTGCCAGCAAGAATAATGAAAACCCCAATGGACCTCAAACTCTAGTTATGTATTTATATAAACTCAAATAGGCTCGGCCCGGTCCGGTCCAATAATTAATTAATCCAATTAATTAAACCCGGTCTGTGAATTAATTAATCCAATTAATTAATTCAAAAATATAAATAACAAAT